ATATATATATATATATATATATATATATATATATATATATATATATATATATATATATATATATATATATATATATATATATATATATAAACACTATATTTTCATGCTCTAGCCGCTTTATAGGCGTGTTGCGGTCTTCCATGCGTTGTCAGTCAAAGTGCAGGTGCAAGGAAAACACGTTGTACGTCGGCCGAAAAGCGGAGAAACGGCAATACTTTGTGATATTAACAAATATGATTTATCGTTTTTAGATATGAAATAGCGATAACGTAAAAATCGACGGTGATTATTTTCACGCGCATATAATTGTCATTATTACATACATACATATATATACAAGTATATTATACTATATGTGTGTGTGTGTGTGTATGTGTGTACGATCGTGTATGCAATATATGTATACAAATCTTATATATAAAGGAAAACTCCCTTTTTATTAACTTCGTTCTCATAACAGCGGTTTTTTGTGTTTTACTCCAATTATCCGTTATCCATTATGTAATGCTACCTATAATCCCCGAGAGAAATAAGGATGCAAATCTCTACTCGTCTGTTTTCCCTCATAAATATAAATTAAGGTTGCGAGACCGAAGCGCAACAGTTGTATCTTTTGTTGGCGAAAGTAGGATAAAACGACTCAAGGGTGAAACAGCGTGAGTAACTTTCTTCCGTCTCTCCGTCGAGATTCTGATCTTCCCCGCTCGCAACCACTCTCGATGTTACAGATGTGAGTAACGAGCACGAGAGAGAGAGAGAGAGAGAGAGAGAGAGAGAGACAGAGAGAGACAGAGAAAAAGGGTAGTTATTATCTGACAGGAATTGACGCTTCTTTCCTTTTTCGTCGGTGGAAAAGCAGGAGATGACAAAATCAAGATGTTCGTCGCGAAAAGTGCGTTGCATTACTACGCGGAGTATCTCTTCACGAGAGTGAAAACGCGAATTTTTCAAGACGTGAAGAATCAAAAAGAACCCGTGATTATGATTTACAGTTCTGAGAAAGAGAGCGACTCACTTCGACCGTGACAGCGTTAATTCGCGAAGCGCGGCTAAGGGCAATTAAGAGTGAAGCGCGTCGGGCCGCTTAGGCTCCTATTAGGTCGAATTTTCTTATTTAACGGCAGTTTTATCACGTAAAGAGCCTCGCCGTGACTTTCATCGGCTCTGAGAACCTAAACTGCATTATCCACTATTGGATTTCCTCATCGAAGACGGCGGAACCGGCGATTGCCGGCGCTCTATCGCTTCATTACTTGTCCCCGTGAAGAACCGTGCTTATCCGTGCAGACACTTTATCAGCATTATTCTGTGGAAAGTCAATAGATTCTTCGTGACGATCATCGAGTAATAACTTTCGGTAAGATAAAAGCTGGAAAATATTACGAGACAACTTTTTTTTTCATTAAGCAACGAACTTGTCAAAAGTTATTAGATGTGCATCCATTTTCCTACAATAAAAATATATTTTCCCGAGTGCGAATTTTTCTTGCACGAAGACATTTTTTCTTTCGAATGTTTATTTTTATTAATTTCTTTCCATCGACCACGATGGATGTGCGAAATTTCCTAAAACAATGACTCTGATTTTCGACAACGCTTTATCGATCCGTGATCGCGATTAAATCTCTGGAGAAAAGTAATTTAAGCGAGTTATTAAATAATTTCATGATTGTTATAAGCGCTCCTGTTGCCTGTTTCTATAGTCGATTATCGCGCGAAGCGACATAAAAAATTTGTCACGGTAATAATCGTCGCATCGTTCGCTATTTACAGCACCGTCACAGGTAAACGCGAAAATTGCGTAGTAATTGAACCATTATATCAGTTTGCAGTAGCTTCTACAACTTCTGCAAACATGATTAGCTTTGTTGGAGTGCCTCGTTCTCTTTTCGACGCGATTCGCCGCGATTTCGTTTGCGCAGTTACATTACACAAGTTGCGTGAGTTATTCGTGTCGCGCGTTAATTTATATACGCAAAGAATTTTTTGCGCAGATTTAAACGTTCATTAATTGAAGAAATATCATAGTAGATTTGACCAATTAGGATATACTTATAATATCAAAAAAATTTCAAGTATACAAAATTTAGAGGGCAAAGAAACTGTAGAGATAGAAGTACTTTACATTAATAATTAATAATCTATTAGAAAAATGGTAGAATATACCTTTGTTCAGTTTGACCTAATATACAAGCACAACGGCAGATGTCGCTACAGCTAATCTACCATATCTCGTGTGATCATTCACGAAATTTTCTTTAATTAATATCTCGATAATTAATGTGAATATCACAAAAAGGTATGTGACTTTTATGTTTACTTCATTCCGTACTATGCCTTCACGAGAGCTTCAAAGGTTGTTCTGGAACACCCTGTATATCGTTGCTTATATATGAAACAATGTTTTATATATGAAAAAAATGAGTATATGGGTTTTAAGTGAATATAGGAATCTCTGATGCATAACACACATTTATTTTAAAGAGACGAAATAAAAGCACGGAACAGAGACAAAGACGAGAGACACGTCCGCTTTCATCTCGAACGGAGGAAGGGGATCTTTGGTCTCAATTTAAAAGAGTTAATTTTTCACGGACCCATCCGGTGACACAATGCCGTTACGTTCGCGTTTGGCGATATTTTACACCGTCTGGTCGGGATCCACATTGTACGGGCGATGGAGTGGTGCGGCCCCTTTCACCCTCGTTTCACCCTCGCGAAACGACGCCGGCGCTATCGATTATCCGGCGCTCCTTCGCCAAGTACACTTGGTTAACGCTGTCGAATCTATAATTGCAATTTTTGTTGCGAATTGTAATTGTCGTGTGGTGACGCCTCTTTGAGGGATTAATGATTGTCTCATCATTTGATCCTTCGGACAATCTGTCATTCTGCTAGTATTACTTATGAAAATTCAAGGTCGCATGTGACGAATGATAACGCGTTCGAATTCTCGTGTTTTTATTGAGTTAGTGCAAAAAGTTTGTCAAATAAAACAGAATACGTAATTATCCAATATCGAAGGATCAATCATTTTCATGGGTAGAAACTGGACAATATAGAATATTGTGACAATAGAATTGGTATGTTTTTGAACATTTAATGAAATCTTCCTATATTTTTCTTTCTAAGCAGCACTTATTATATTGGTTCAATGCACTGTACTGCTGTAATCCCCAGACTTTTGAGAATTTAATAAGAATTTAATAAAAAAATTATAAATCTTTTGTACCAACCTAATAATTAGCAGGATTCGCTCGAGAGTGTATTTCATAGAAACTTGGTGGAAATTAAATTTTATTCACTATGTTTCTAATTATATATATATATATATATATATATATATATATATATATATATATATATATATATATATAT